TATACAGCTGCTTTTGTTCGATGCGCTTGTTACGACTCCTCTGTACATCTTCCTCTCAGCCACATAACCACAAGTGACACACGTGTACTAGGTGATGCTTTCTTAGAAAACTACTTTCGTTTAAGATGTAATTTTCGGCTATTTATCGAGAGTCACTGGCGAGTTTAAAGGCCGCGACAGCCCCGACAATTCTATAGGGGAATTGGCCAAAGCATGGGCTGCCCGTGCGAAGATGCGATTTTTGCATAGCTCCCCGCCGATTTTTGTTGCTAACGGCACTGGTTTTTCCGGCAGATGCTTCTAGCTAAAAGAATTTCAGACTGGCTACCAAGACTGCCAGGAAACATCTCCTCAAAATTTCAGTCTTCTAGCTCCTCACGTTCCCGAGTTAGGAGCTTACCCGGAAGAAACTTTCACGGGTCCGTACGTAGGTACCACGCTTACCCGCGGGCATGTTTTAAACTCGTTAATACCTACTTGGACAAGGAACATCACCCTAACATTTCAGCGTTCTAGCTTCTCAGGTCCCCGAGTTATGAACTTACCCGAAAAAAATCTGGGGGGCTCGTAGGCAGGTACCATGCGGGTTATGGCGCCCATTTTGGGGACTGGGGCCGGTACGTGCATGTAGATTAAGTTCCCGAAATTTCAGCCCTGGAGCTTTTATAAGTCTTGAGATGAAAGTGCGTGAAAGACACACACAGACACACGGACACGCAGGCAACCGCTTGTCAATATGCGTTTTTACATTGCATAGCTGTAAAAAATGCATAAAACGACTGGTAGCGCAATGACTAACACGTCGCAAATCGAAGGACCCGCAATGAAGATGAGGTTCAATTCCAACCCAGTTGATATTCCTCCAAAAGTCGTTTTGTTCGCCAATTAACTAACATACACAGAGACACGGATGCAAAAGGACTGTAAAATTGAGGCACATGGAAAAACCAGTAGTGCTCCTGTAAAACCAGATTACAAAGGCTCTTATATAAACAATAAATTTAAGGAAGTTATACGTGAGTGCTTAAGGGCTGTAAAACTTTTGTGAATGAAAAGGCCAACACTGCTAGCGTACCAACATGTGCACAGAGCCAAACGAGTGAATGTATAAACCAAATGTGTTGACTTGAAAAATTGCCGAAACATTGTAATAACATGTAAAGCTGGCAATGCCAATGCAGGAGTCAAATGCACAAACGTGAACGCATATAACTGTACAAACACATGTTAACAATGCGATAGCGACGTATAAGATACACTGGTCAGAATTTATAAAGTTTGCTTGTGTTTAGCATGTTTTCATAAGCAGTCTTTCTCCTAACTGCGATGCACTAGCTATTTCAGCGGTTAATGTTACTCTAGTTCTAATCCGACAAAAAGCGGTTTAAACTGGCTTACTCGAGACTGTCACTTAGAAACCCTGAGTGATCTGAATCTTCCGCTGGTCACATCGATGCCAAGAAGTATGGGTCAAATTTCATAAGTGAGGAAGCCAAGAAATATTTGCAAATATGATTTATAAAAACTGAACTCAGTAGACCTCACTTCATCTAAGCGAACGCCGAAGACCCATGTTTTTCTAACAGCGATTACCAAACACAAAAGCTGCTGAAAGACTTCTTTTTTAAAGACTGTTTTGGATGCGAATTTCATTTTTCACCACATCGGGAACGACATTATCTTTTTACTGCCAAAAGGTGTCAGAGTATCAAAGCGAGATGAAATGGGTTCGCTTTGCAAACGACTTTTACTTCACACCACAAAGGTGTGTCACAGATCATTTCGATATCTCCTCTACCACAACATTGTGGCAGGCCCCATGCGCTTTTCAAAATCTTGTGAATATAAAAACACGCACATTACTAAAAAAAAAAAAAAAAATATGCAGCATAAAACATCCCTATTTAAATGTAAAAAGACTACGTGCTTAAAAAGGAGGTAATGTGACGCTTCATATTCTGTTTCGCTTTCAAAATAAATTTTAGCGGTTACAGGTTGGTAACCACTAAAATTCGGCTCGACTCAACTGCGAAATATGCACTCACTGTTGGGTAATCAGGTCTGAGTTGCGGAAATCGTGGTACTGGATTTTTTGCCTAGGTAACGTTTAAGGTGTCGCGTTCAAATTGTTAACTCCCATTCAGCATCAGGCTTCAGGCTGAGCATGGAAAACCCATAGAGACAATCTCCCCCAAAATTCCCGTCCCCGTTTCTAATTCCTGCTCTTAACTCCTTTATAGACTCTATCTCCTTCTCTTTGTGACGACCCTTGAGACCTAAACTACCATATTATGCCTTCCCCCACCCCTGTTTTACAGCCCCCTAGCTCTTCTCCGCAGTCCTTCAGTCATCGCAACTCGTCTCTCGCCTACCTGGCCCAGCCGAGTTTAAGTAGTTGTCTTAAAATCGGGAACAATATGAAACAAAAATTAGCATTTATTCATTAGATGAACTCGAAGGAACTGTCGCAAATTCTCCTGAGATCATAAAGCCTGGCATCTATCTAAAAAAAAAAATGTTAACCTGGTCAACCAATAAATAGTGGTGTGCATAAAGACCGATACAACAAAAGATTTTGTGTTACGTTTTCTTGGGGAGTCAAAAACTCGTAATGCACTGCATTTGCGTAAGTACATAGTGCGTAAGCATCTGCATGATGTGTTTGCGCGGTTCGTAAGCCAGTATCCTGGTTCACATTGCAACGGCGGTGCACCTTTCGATCCGAGAGTTGTTTTTATATTTTCGACTAGCTTGTGGTCCTCTCAAATGCAGTAACGGAAAAAATGTGATATGTAATAATGTATGACGTGCTCATGAAACGAACCGGAAAGTACGCATGGTTCCTTGCTTAAAAACATAAATACGGCATACAACCTGTTTTCACGTTTTTGCACTGGGGTTGGTTAGGACTGCCTGAAAATTTAAGCTCCAATCCTTATGGATCATGACCGCAAGGAAAGTGGAAAATGCGATTAACACCTAAAGCAACGAGATGTGGAAGATACTGCCCTTCTAGACCTATGTATGGCTGCAAACTGTGCTGCCATAATTTCTACTTTCGCGTTTTCTCAGTTGTAAACTACGGCGACACAGAGACACACAAGCACACGCAGATATGACATTATCAGAACACATTCCTCCTACAAAAACTTACAGCACATGTGTAAAAATGCTGAAATCTGCTAAAAATTGACATGAAATTTTCAAAGGCTGTCGATGTAGTCCGACACTTTATAAAGCAAAACTCGAAAAAAATCCACGAATCTGCAGATGACGAAGGGAGCAGGGAGAAAGTGACTTACAAGAGGCACAGAAAGGCCGGAAAATGAACCAGAAAAAATAAACGAGTAGAAATGACTGACCTTCCGAAGCGCCCAGCAGCTGATTTCTTCGAATCCGCACTTCTTCCAACTGCTTCAGGATCTGAACAAAAAGAGATGTGAGCATAGTCTTTTATGACTTTACATAGCATTTTCCAGTGTCTTTATTTTCTAAGGACTCGTAGAAACCCAAACTCCAACCTGAAAAACCTGAGTAGAACAAGTGCACAGTTCGGCTTTCAAATTATTCATTTTCGTCCTCAGAACATCCAAACAGTTTGTCAGGGTAAACTCTTTAGCCGCAAGCGCCACCATCTCCTTCAGCTAAAAAAAATTAAATATAGTTTTTTATAAAAACAATTTGAAAAAACTGGTTAAGCGGTTGGCCTTCCTACAGAACCAGCACTGTCCTGAAATTATTTCAACAGACATGCATATCTGACCTCAAAAAAAACTGGAATTTTATTTTAAAGTTTTGTTCCAAAAAACTGCAAGTTGTTTATATGCAGCACTGATCATATGGGCAAATGTCCTGCTATTAAAACTTTGGTACACGCTTCTGCTTTCCCATCCCGAAATTTCAATACACAGTATACAGGCAGCACAATGCCAATGCCGACGGAGATGATCAGAAACCTTTTACTGTATTCGATGAACTGGAAGCTGCCAGTACCATCAAAATCGGAAACTCAATTATTTTTAAATGTGGTAATTTTGGTGAAGAGGGTTTATGTTAAAAAGCAATGTACAGTCGTTATTAAACGGCATTTCCGAAGAACTGCGTTTAACAGAAAGCACAGCTCGTGTAAATGTTTTCGCATCTGCGCATAATAAAAGGCAGTACCTCCAATATCAAGAACCACATCTCTGACACTCTTGGTGCTAACAGGAATTACACGGAACATTCTCCACTAATAAACTGCTTCTATCAGGGCAACTGGTGAGTTGGTAATCCAGTCAAGAAACGAAAGGAATGAGAGGGTAATCAGGCAGACCGTCAGACAATGCAGTACTAATAAAGGCGACAGGAAAAATTGTCAGCTGCATAAATGGAGAACGATGTTGAACTGCAGCTGATCAATGCATCAAGAAGCTGAGAATACTTATGATATGCTGTGAATACGTTTCGAAAAAATAACACGCTTATCAAAATTCTCACTTTGCTGGTTAACTTTCTGATCGAAAAAAA